TGGGGATCGACCAGTGTACATGTAGAGCAGCAACTCTTGCATTACCTGTAAATCCAGCACAAGCAAACAGTTCGACAAGCTATCACTGTAGGAGATAATGAAATATCATTAAAGTGAACTAAAGAGAGGAAAACATAACATCGTTACCAGCTTATTCGATTTCTACTGGCAATCAGTATGTTCTGAAGAAGTACAATTCGATCAAATAAAAACGAGTGAAAATTCGACTCAATTCAATAGGTAAAAATAAAAATTGTGAATTAAAGAGGCAGAACGAATATCCAGAAACAGCAGAATTGCTGCGAAGATTGGAGAACGAACTAAGAGTATTATTATCTGAAGAACGGCAATTCGCGTCTACTGGCAACTATTGTAAAATCGGCAAGACGTTCTTCCTTATAAATTGCTTCCAAATCACGATTATAAAGGGAAGTTCTATCGCTAACAATAAATTACCTGACTGTTCACTGAGTTGAGTAAACATGTTAAACAAAAAAAAGTGAGACAAAGAAACTGCAAACCTCAAAATCTATATCTGGAAAGACAACACGACTATTTTTAGCTTCCTCCGTGTGCGGTTCTAACATCGCCGCAAAGACTGGAGAACGAGCTGAGAGTATTATCTGATGAGCCGGCAATTCGCGTCCACTGGCAACTATTGTAAAATCAGCAAGACGTCCTTCCTTATAAATTGCTTCCAAATCACGTGCTATCTGTTAAACAGGGTATAGTAATTATATAATCTTCCACGGTACTACAAGATTAGCAATACCTACAATGTCAATATGTTTTACTATATGCTTTAATCAAACTGAAAATGTTCAAGAGCTTCGAAAACATAACTGACAAAGTGCGGATTACTACGTTCACCTAATAGCTTCATCTACAGAGTTTTCAAGAATTATGATTCTAATTTGAAATAAGAATTAAATAACCTCCGCTGGACGAGCATCTGGAACATTGCATTGCCGTGGATTCTGACTACTTTTCGTGACAGTGTCGAAAGTAATAGTGAGACTTAAAACAAGTTGTAATTCATCCTGTGGCTGTATATGGCTAACTAAAACATCACGACGTATGTACTCGAAATATCCATGCAGCTGAAGTTGAAATACAGTTGAAGCATGCGCAGAAATTCACTAGTTCCAAGCAATTACTGTTCAAAACTACTCTTTTACCATTTGCCAAAATCATTTAAGAGAATAAAAAAATCAAATAGTAGCAGGTTTTAGAATGAAATCCAAAATGTATAGCTGATTTTTGAATAAGGTGTTGAATACTTCTGTGCAAAGTGTCAGCAAAAAAACTTCACTTGTTGTGTACCAGTGTAAACCGTCGTGGGCGCTTCTTCATTTTTTGCATTGTATACTGAAAATTTCGCGCGATATTTGGCTGAATTCGTGTTGCAGAAAACCTAAACAACAAAAAACAATAAGACTTTTATCACGGTATATCCAAAAAAAAATAGGAATTCATAGCAATAAATAATACCGGTGGATATAAGAGTCATTAGGAGAGATAGCGTTTCATTTCAAAACGTGATGACATATGATGTAATTCAGTAGCAGTTGTGTAGGACTGTGATTTACAGTCGCTAAAATGTCTACACCAACCTGGAAAAAACTGAAATCTTTATTCGATTCTTTATTGCCCTGTGGATGCAGTCTTATTCGAAACGTCAAGTGATTCCCATCAAGGGTATTTGTAGGAACAGGCTGAAATCATACGAATATGTAAGCAGTATATGTGTAAATTTTAGATGATTTAAAGTTTCCCATTTCATTTTAATGTAGTTACCACATTTCTTCAACCCATAAAATATTGCACATTCCTCTTGTGCTATTACCAGATGCCGTTTGTCACAAACACTAACCGTTTCTTTGATTTTAACCGAGGTTTCCAGATATCGACATTCGCATTGTGAAAAGCCACGAATGGTCCAAACATGAGAGTGCTGCAGTGAACGTACTTCCGTCGTTGACCAGCTATCCGATGGACGGAGCGGACCAACAATATCTGCCATGCCCCGGCCACTAGAGCCTTCTGGGAATAAAAAAAAAAAATTGAATTTAGTAAGCTTTCACCATTACAACTTACCTCGTCACCAGTCGGTTTTATGCAAGTGGTAGTGATATCACTTTATACACAAATGTAACTGGATCAAAGAGCCGGAACATAAGTAAGATATCAAAAGTTAGAGTGTACAACAGTGGTTTTAATGTATGATACAACTCTCTACTGGCAGCTTGCACTGTTGCGGCTAAATCATCCGTACGAAGGTAACCGACGAAGAATCTTTACAGTTCCATCTCAGTACAAAATAGCGGATAATCAATTACCCACATCATAATGATTAATAAGAACAAGTTCAATGGTGAATACTCCTGCCAAAACTATAATTTTTTTAGTATATAACAACTTTCTACCAGCAGCTTCCACTGCTCTAGGCTAAATCACCCATATACCAACCGGTTGACAAGCACGTCTTTCATAAGTATACTTGACACTTTCCACTCATCTGCTTTAATATTTAGAAAAGCGAAAATCTACCTTCCTCACCACCAGCACCGAAATCCACTTCTTCGCCCGTCGTTTTGAAGAACCTCTACAGTTTCAGCTTTACAGCTGTGCTTGCGCAAAATAAAAATATGTGTCAAATTATCAAAGAACCCTGAAAATTGAAAGGGAAAGAGAAGGAGCAATCACATCGAAATTTAGCAAGCAATATAGCAGGCCAGTTTTAGAAAAAACCTATAAAGAGAAATTTTCGGGCGTAACTACAAAGATGAACTATTTTTCCCTTTTTAAAACTGAGCTGTTTTTTTCGAGTAGTAATACTTTTCTGTACTATCAAAGGCTGAACTGTATTGCCAGGGCGGTGTTACCGCATTGCACAGTGTCAACGTTGATATTCAGTCAATAAAACCCATGTACAGATTTGATAATATGGTTCAAAAGAGAAAATTATTGTGATTCTGGGCATTAGGAAATGAATACCAGGTGACCTGGTAGGAAGAAAAAGGACACGTAGGCAAGAATTAATATAAACACAACCAACCAAACAAACACAGAACCAAAGCAACATACAAGCATCTTTATACCAACATCAAATGTAAACCATGTGCTCTCTATGTTATAAATTTTAAAGCGATAGTAACTCTACGCAAAAAATGTGGACCACTGAGTCTGGATTGAACCTAACAAATACAATACAATTGTTGTTTACTGTCAACTGTCCTTTGATGAAAGAACAAAGAAGTGGGATGCCTTCGTTATATGAGAAGGCATGGAAATGACTGGCTAAATAATGGCTTAGTGCGGTTTATGAAATCTAAAATTATATCAAAGATTTTGCTTGAAAAGTTCAATGAGTTCCACTTCCTTTCAAATGATGTCATCATTACTTTCATGTTTAGTACTTGCTAGTTGAACTTCTTGTTTCTACGCGAAGCGCACGCTTCCATGATGGCGATCTCGGCGATATAGCAATTAGCCAGCCGGCTTTATGCAGCAAAAGCTTCATAACAATAGTTTCAAATTGTTCGATTTGATTCGTCAGCTGGATGAATAAATGCTAACAGTTAAGGTCATCTGTTGTCGACATCTTCCGTACTGGAAATGAGATTTATAAGCTGGATTTAATAGGATTTTTACTTTGATTTACTTAACTTGCGGTCGTAGCTTTAATTTTATGGTTTCTTCAATTCTTATTTTTTTATATCCCATTTATTTCATATCTTTATTAACTTACATTTGTCAACAACAACGTAATTTCTCGATTTGCTAATTTCTTTGCTTTATTTAAATTCCACTTTCTTTCAGAAATTGGCTTTCTTTGTCCAACAAAGCTAATATGCCTCATAAATTGACATTTGTTAAATTTTTAGGCTAGATTACATTTTGGCAATGAAACATTGTAGCAGTGTGTGGACGACAGCGGAGGCCGAATAAGACCGGAATATAAAGGTAAAGAAGCAGGATGAACAGTCCTTTTATAAACATTTTACAGCTTTCATGGTCACTACGAAATCTACAGGTTTCTTTAATTTTCCACTTGATTTGTCCCTTTGAATTGGTCAAACTAATAGTTAACTTGTCTTAATCTTTCCGGAACTTCCATTACTATACCTCTTAAATTTCTATCAATCTATTGCGGAACTGTCGTCATACTATATCTTAATAACAATTTCATGAATTTCGTCAACAGTACCTGTTTATATCGACTTATTCCTTGGCGATATTATTTTTCTTCTAACCCATTGTTTAATTACATACTAACACTTGGTATTGCCCACCACGTGTTGTTGATTTTTGAAATACATGTGGGATTCTTCGAAATATCTTCCACGCTTTTTATACAAATTTATCATACATTTCACTGCGACAAAAATGAACTATCCATGCAAATTTTAACTCAATTAAAATGAAAGTCATTAATTGTTCCTCTAACACTGTTCAAAATGGAATTTGAGGAAGACTGTGGCGATTCCCAGGATCCTATGTTGGTGGAGAACCTTCCAAAGTATCAGACCTGTATATGTTGTGATAAAGGTATTCCTATTTCCTCCCTCAGTGCACTTTCCCAAAATTTCCATGTTTATTCGACTGTTCTCTATTAATGGTTTACAACAATAAAATTTGAAGAATCTATTTCAAGTCCATAAATTTTTGGGCTAGATCACATTTTGGCAGTGAAGGGTCAAGAGGTTAGAGTAACGTAAAAGTTTACCAAATCTTTGATTCGAACCTTCCGTCCCAAACTCCCTTAGACAGTGACTCTGAGATTGTTACCTAGGTTATGTCTTCATTTTATTCAAAGATATTTTTGCAAAAGAAGCAAGACTGAAGATCCTTGCACTATCGCCATTATTAGAATAGCAGTATTATGATAAACTGTGCATCAGACTTTCTCTTATAAATATCTTACAATGACGGAGATCCACAGCTTACTTAAAAATCAATGCAGTTCGGTACATCTAGCATGACGTGAAATTACGGACAATCCTGAAAGTGTCATCGAACGCGGAATCTTTTAAAAGTTTTGCCAGATATTTGCTTCCCCTAACCATTGCGTTATACAAAATAGATGTCTAAATCGATTGAGGAAAAAAAAATGAAATCATCGCACCATATATTCGTAGTAACCAATATCAGATGCTTCAGCCTTTTTGATAACTGTCATCCTGAAAATGACTGGGAAGTCCTCCACATGGCCGCCAATTTTTCCTTGCGCTGATTGACATTAATAAATGTGATATATAAGACGTATGCAAATTTTCCTTTTTTGTTATATTTCCGTGTCAACTGTATTTCTCCTTGGTGCTAACTTATTGTGTCTCCTTAATTTATTACATTCGGGTACCATTCCTGTGGTATTATGTTAAATAAGAGTTCTAGAATTTATTATCAAGTTTTTTAATAAAGCGTCATAAAAATTGGTGCAATTTCAATTCATTTTCAATCACAGCTGTGCTAAATGATGAAAATTTTTCATCGAAAGAAGCAAAAATTACGTTGGGAAGAACATTTATTATTCGCAACTATAGGCTTATTAACCATCTTAACTTTATTTAGAAAAATGCGATTTCAAAAGTCTGCCACTGGAATCACATATTGATAGGATAGATTTTAAGCTGGAAATGGTTGTCGAGACCACTTGTGAAGTTTTAGAAAACTTGTATCAGGAATCGTACAGTAAGGAATGGCGAGAATTTTTTGACCAATACAACAGTACCGACGGCATTCAAGTCTCCTTTTAATTTTTCGAAACACTGCATAATCCAATTGAAAATTCATTAAATGTATGATGATTCTATCTAGAACGTAAGAAACTAAATTATCTTCTGGTTCCCGTCTCACTAATAAATGTTCTTGCAAAAAGAAGTTTGTAGTGCATAACATTGGTGATGACTAATGCAATAATCGTGTGATGTCTTGCAGGAAATATTTGTGAAAAGAGGAGATGAATGGAATAGTCCCAAGGGTCCACGTAAACGCTACCAACGTTTTCGTGATAAGCGTTATATTTGTGATGAATGCGGTCGCTGTTTCACTTTAAAACAAAATGTTCAGTATCATATCGTTACTTATCACCTTGGTAATCAACAGATCACCACCAGTCGTGGCAAACGTTACGTTTGCCTTACTTGTCAAAAAGTAATCCATTCATTTCGTCCTGATCTCTCCAGTTCGATATTATAAGTATAGCAAGTAGAGAAAGGAGTCGCCGAAAATGTACTTTGTTATCTCCTAAGTCTTTTTAGATATTGTGAAACCTGTGCCATATAATCCCAGAACATTTAACGCTCTGTGATCAGTATATATTAGAATTTCAAGTCATAAAGGAAAGTATATAGCGACATAGGGACTGGAAAGCAATTAAATTAAAGTTGATATTTCGAAAAAGAAACATGAAAGGGTCCGAGAAATGGTGAAGAAATGAATAATTTAATTGATAGTCTTTGAGAATGCTTTTTTTTATTATTGAATCTCCAGTAATATTAATTGACATCGTACCTTCAAATAGCTGTAAATTGAAGGTATATCGAAGTGCCGAAGCGGCTCGACATCACAATGAACGAGACCATTTCCGCTTGCCTAATGTACAAATTCATCGCTGTTCCACATGTACTCGTATTTTCCCGAGCAATACCCAATTGAAGGAACATATATCTATACAACATCTGTTAGTTCCCATTCATCTCCTTTTCGAGCTTTACTAAGTGAATTTCTTGGAAGATTTGAGGAACTTTAGTAATTCTAATAAGGTACTAAGCTTGATCTGTCTTATCATTCCTCCATGTAATGGGTAATCCCGTCTCTTTTTATCTTGTACATAGAGCACATCACGCAATCCTGCAAAAGGACCTGGCTGATTGGTCTGATCAACACAGCAAATTCAGCCCAGCCCTTCCTTCTGACGAACACTGTTCAACATTGTTCACAGTGCGAAAGCAAAATGAATCCGAAATTCTCTGTTATTATTAAAGGAAAAAATCATTCGCATCTTCCATATCTATTGATAAATTGATTCTTTTGGTAGAATTGTAATTTTTTCTTTTCAGACAACAGAGGCCTTATGTGTGTGATAAATGTAACGCGCGTTTTGGTCGACAGGGAGGCCTACGACGTCATCATATAATGGTGCATACGAATCGGCGATATAGTTGTGCCTATCCGGGTTGCACCCATCCAGGTTTCAAATGTTCTAAGGTTCGAATATTTCCTGAATTTTAATCATTTTTTAAGGACCGCCAATTGGAAGGTGCGTGTTTCCTACTTAATTCCTTGCATGTCTTTACTTGTTCATTTCCATGCAAATAGACTGCAGTTAAAAGACGCGATGTTTGTGGAAAAGTTGAAGAAGTCCTTAAATACTACATTTCCGATGAAGAATGACTTGTAATAAAACTTTCTCTGATTGGAATTAAATTTGAATTGAAAATTCAATTGATAGATGAATCATTTTCTCAATTTTTCAGATAAATTTTGTAATCTCTATTTACATCTTGCAAGTTTTTGCTCTCAGCCTTTTCAGTGCTTTTTGCAGGCTCTAGCAGCTCACATTCGATCACAGCACACTAAAGACAGACCGTAAGTTTTATATTAGAGTTTGCAGAACTTTGGATTTAGCAATAATATACATGTGATGGAGCATATAATAGATTTATAGGGCTTAACACCTAAAAGATTTAAATACATACAAATTTTTGTTTATTTCCAATTCTGCGAAAATTTCATAATTTTTTTTCAGAATTTCATAGAAACAAGACGCACGGAATCATTTCACTTACCGCGTTTTTTCAAACTCAATTTTGTAATTTTTTGTAGTGTCGCGCAATATACTAATTCTCGTCCCATTTCTATTAGTGCTCTTCGTAATGCAGAAAAGCTATAATAATGTTGATATTAATTACATTTGATAATTATGATAGCAGCAGGGATTATGGGGAGAGATGTTGGTTTAATTAGAGATGTTTGGTTTAATTAGAGATGTTGGTTTAATTAGAAATGTTTGGTTTAATTAGAGATGTTGGTTTAAGGACAATGGCAACATATTTACTAAGACATTTATAGAAGTGTGCGAAAAACATTCTACGTTTCCTATTGATATTCTTTCGCATTTTTACTAGAGCTACCTTTCATTTTCCATTTGAAGGCAAAATCGATTCAAATACGTGTGACCTCTGTACTTTCCACTGCTTCAATGATCACTTTGACTTATGTGTACTGAAAACTCATACAGTTTAAACCGCGCTAATTCCATTTGCAGTTTCGCGTGCTTCGAATGCGGAAAACGTTTTGTACGTCGCAACGACCAGCGTGTTCATGAGTTGTTGCATGCTTCTCATGAACAGTTCGACTGTAAAAAATGTGGACAGCGTTTTCGCCGTCAAATTTATCTCAAGAAACACGAGAGCTCATGTCGAGTGATTAATGATAATGCGATTGCCTATTCGTCCATCCATAACAATGGGTGAAGCAAATTTTCAGCCTCAACAGTGAGCATATGAATGGAAAATTCGTATTCGACATATGAAGAAAACTTTCCACTCTGTGACTTTTTCACTTCTGACATATATATATATATATATATATATATATATATATATATATATATATATATATATATATATATATATATATATATATATATATATATATAT